ATTTCAGAAGAACTTCGTCACATTGCTAATCAGATAAAGTAAAAAGATCTTTTTAATGTAATTAACCTGAAAAAGCATATGAACATATCTCAATACTTATTGTATTACATACTCCCAATGATATCCACCAGCACGAGCTTTAAGCCCTTTGCAAACTTTTCCAACATATGATCAATCAATTCCAGTTATGCGTTGTGCTTCGGATATGGATTGAAATTCTTGAGTAGAGCCATCATCGAAAATCTGTTTGATAGCACGTCGACGACGGTTGCCCCAAAGTCCTAGGTGTATAGCTTGTTGAGAGTTTCCTTTCGGGGTACACCATTCAAGATTGGATTCATTATTGTTAGTAGAGTCACCATCAATATGATTTACGTATTCTTTGCCCTCCTCTTTTAGACAAAATGCTAATGCTACCAACCGACGAATATAATATTTTTCATCTCGGAGATATCCCGAGTCCAATGATCCCCGAGAGATCAAACCACTGCGCAACTGAACTCTTCCAAGAGATGAAACTTTAAATTTTCGTGAATCAACCTCTATTTCTTTCCACTCTTCATTAGGATCTTGTTCTATATAGTCCTCATAATACATCCAACGCCAACCACCAGCAATATTTCGCTTTCTACTACAACACGCCGAAATATGAGGTCTTGAAATTTTAAGTGTATAACCTGCAAGAGCGATGGAATCCCAAATTTGAATGACATTTCCATCCAAAGTTTTCTGAACAATTTTCCTGGACCTGCCACGACCACGGTTTGAAAATGCCTTACGTTCTGCATTCTATTTAGGAGTTACCCATTCCAAATTATCTACTCGATTATCATATTTGATGCCATTAATGTGGTTAACATAAAGCTTATTTTCCGGATTAGGAATGAAGGCTCGCGCGACTAAAATATGAACCTTGGTATGTGCACAAATATTAATAATTATTTTTATTGGCACATATCCATTCCTTTTGCAAGCATTTGGCGTTAAAATCATACCTTTTTTGTTCTTGACGCGTCCAAGATTAGAAACTAATAAGTTCGCTAATCTTCCATTATGATGTTTATTGTAAACATATTTTTTTAATTTAGCAAGGTCAATATCTTCCCTATGATCGCAATTAACTTCAACACAATAAGCGATTTTCACTGGGACGAACACGACGAACCAAATTCTTTGTGTTGTCTGGTGGCATTGGGTGATTTTGAGGGGGGTGAACTATGCTTCCCCCAACTCCAGATTATCGTTCCACCTCGTCCAGGACAGGTCGTCGTATTTTCTTCAAGACTTCTTTTACATGGCAATTTTCCTGTTACGAGAGGGATCCGACATAGTATCGTTTACTTCGTCCATAGTACCTTCTTCCATCATCTGCGCGATTTTTCGTCGATATATGAAGATTTAGAGGCTGGTATTGAAAGAGATGCACGTGGAACGCTTGTTTCTATGATTCCTCAGCAAGATCTCACTAACGCACAAGATCTAAATAACCGAATCACAATCTCTCAACCGAAAAAAAGTCAAACCACGATACCAGAAAGATCTTGTGATAAGAGGCGAGGAAATATTGGTAAATATTTAACATGGATTAGTACATTCGTGTTAATCTTTTCATTGTACTGTATTATATTGCCAAAAATCACTAATTATAATCGCTACTTTTTTACAGATTTACGTGAATGTATCGAAACAGTAACCAAGTCTTTAATAGAGCATCAGAATACTATTGGAGATAATATGTATTTGTAGGCAAATATTGGATAAAAAAATCCAGATTTCTCTTCACCAATTACTGGAGATAGTAAAATCCGAGGTTCAGCAAGATATTATAAACTCGATAACAAACTCGGGTATTCCTCGAAGAAATCATACACCATGCAAGGCTAAAAGAAAGTGCAAAGCTAGAAAAAAACTAATTTTTAATGATACTGCATCTGAGTCCTCATCCTCGTCTTCATCTGAATCTGGGTCTGGGTCTGGGACCGATTCTGAATCGTCTAGCTACAAAGTGACTACCTCCAGCAATGATGATAAAAATTTTACTGTGAATGTAGTGAAAGCGAAGAAGCATAATTAATTACCATCATCTTAAAGGCAGAATGGTCTCGCTTCTTTGGGTTTTTGTCTGCGCTTTCTGTAATTGACTATAACGTAATTCTGAACCGGAAAAGTGTTGTTATTTGGGCTGTGCCGTAAACACTCTCCAGCAATTGTATAAGCATGGGCCATATTCTTAGCCTCATGTGCTACCACACCATAAATGGCACCCATTTTTCGTAAGTATTTGGGAATTAGATCATAATCTTTTAAGAATCTTTGAACCACTTAACTCCTGGCTTACCTGAATTACTCATACGTCCAGAAGATATAGCCTTTTGAATCCAGGTAAGCAATTCCTTAGCTGGTTCTTGATCCTTCTCCATAGATCTAAATTTCCTAGGGATATCTGGTTGACCCTGATTTTTCGCATATCCTGTTACTCCAGCATCTGTAATATGCAAAGTTGTAAGTTCAGCAGGACGAATACAAAGCATTACCATGACATTAGCAAGAGCTCAATAATCGGGTGAAGTTTTTAAATCATACGCATCTAATTTCTCTTTGACTGATTCTAATATAAATTCATAATAGGATTAGCTTCGGCTTTTTTCTGATTATCCTTTTGGATTTTATTAGCTTCTTCTGTAATATCTGGTAATTTCGTGGCCTCAATTATTTGAAATGGGGCATTAAGATTTCTTAACTCTCTTCGAAGCCAAGAAAGGTGTGATGAACCCGCGTTGACATTTTTTGCAGATAGGGCTAAGGCAAAGGCTTCAGCTCTTATATCTCAAATACTAAGTTTATCCCGTAAAAGCCGATGCGTCATCTCTCCAATTGTTTCTCGTGGGACCCAGTCTTTCGAAGAAAGGAGACTTTGTCTCTTAGAAATAATAATGTTTACTGTGGAACAGGGCACTTAGTGTGTGGTTTTTCTTTTTGGTTGAACATTTTTCTGAATAGAGAATAAGTTATACACTTGACCCTCACTAAATCCATATATATTTTGCAAAATTCGTTTTGCTTTGTCTCTGATGATCTCTTCTTCTACAACTATTCTACAACTACCTTCAACTACGTAAATTTATAATTTTATTTTTCCCACCCTCTGATTTGGTATTAATATACTTACCTGATCATCACTAAATTTAAAACCGTCTTGAAGGCATCTGCGTGTCTGATTCCGCTTTCTATCATAATTTAGATTCTCGAGAAACTCTGAGGTGTATTGACTGAGATCAGTCGCACTCATCTCGGAACTGAGATTGTATTTTTCTATGATTTTAGTTGTGATGGCAGATATTTTTTAATGTTATAATAGGTCAAGTAGTTTATGGACATTACTTTAGGTTATATACAGTACACTATAAAAATATTTTTTCAAATTAAAATTAATTATCCTTTTTCTTCCCATGTTCAGAAACGAGAGTATATGCGCTACGTATGGGTAACTGGGATGTCAATTTGAAATTAACTATTACATATGATATAACTAAAAAAAATTATAGCTTTGGAGTTACGATCCAGGCTATATTAAGGTTTACGATTCATTTTATTTTTTTTTTATAATTCTTGGAATAGATTCTGGTATGTTTCTATACTTATGAACCACTTCTTATAAATATCAGGTCTATTTTCATTATATCAATCATTGGTACCATAGCTGGATGGGACAGAGCATTCATGAATCTAATTTGCTCAGGATAATAATAATCCATAATATCTGGTAATTGTAAAAATTCGGCTAAATCTTTTGTGTACCTAAAACTATTGTGCATTAGTTTGCAGAACGTTGGCCCATTGTGATCGATCTCTCTCTTGGTTAATAAGTTGACTACTTTCTGGGGTGTTTCCATTGGGAGTT